TGAAAATATTCAAAGTCAAGATATTTTTATAGATCTCCATGTGTTTTGGCTTTCAGCGAAAGAGAGAATTCCAGATATCACCAAATCAGCCTTGAATTGTGTAAATGTCTCAATTTCTGCTGATGCAGAGAGAAGTTTTTTTCTCTGTCTGAGTTGAGTGATCTCCTTCCTGCCAAAAGGAGCTCACTCAGTGAGAAAAACTTGAAGGCTCTTTGTTTTCTATACTGTAATTTAAATTAAAATACTGAAATGCGGTACCATGATTAACATAACTTTGTGACTTTCATATGTGAAAGTCTGAGCAGTTTAAAATGATGTCTACTTTACTTGTATTTTAGTGTTTGGTGTTCTGTAATGTAATTTAAATGAAAATCCAGGATTAGAACTGGAATGCAGAGTACTGGTTACCAAGTATTGGTAATTTAACTTTCATGTGTTTAACGAAGGCTGAACAGTTTTTTTTGTATGGCAATGTAAATAAATCACCAAAATAAGTGAAACTGGTGTGATATTAATTCATTATTTTGAAAAATAAAATTCACAGAATTTTTAATTTTTGGTGCAGAATTCCCCCAGGAGCAACAGTGGCATAGCTGGGCTATGGAGCTTTTATAGCATGGGGCCAAGGGGAGAGAGGGAAGGAATGCTCAGAAAAAAGTTGAATCTCTGACAGTCACTGTTCTGACTTGCCATGGCAGTTCCTCTTGGTGGTCTTTCACTGTGTTTGCGGTGATCAGCTTGAATACTAGTTGGTATAAGGAAGGGTGTTAGATATCGGGTAATTGAGTAGTCATGTAACCACATGAATTCTTATTGGTTACATGACTATTCAGTTATCCCTGGGGGCGGGGCTGACAGCCAATGTGCACTGGCTCTGCTCCTGGGGAGCCTCCTACCACCCCGTGCTGCTGCCTCTGTAACAGAGGCAGCAGCGTGGGATGGGAGGCGGGAGCTGGTCTGCGGGGGATCCAGTTTAAAAATTAGCTTGCCGTGCAGACCGGCTGCCTGCTGCTGTGGCAGTCGCCCCTGTCCCTAGGGTTCCGAGCTCCCTATGGACAGAGGCTGCTACAAGGGGTGAGGGAGGCTGCTGCAGAGGCTTTTCCAGCAGCAGACCCTGTCCACAGGGCATCTTGAGTTCTCCAGGGACAGAGGCTGCTTTGTGGCAGCTTCCTCTGCCCCTCCCCCGCCCCTCCTGGCTGTGTACATGTGGGGGTGGGGGATGGCACCACAGAGCTAGTGCTGGGGGGAACTGGCTTTTAAGTTGGCTCCCCCCTGTACCAGCTCGTGCTCTTCCTACCCCTTACTACCTCTGACACAGGCAGCAAGGGGGGGGGGGAAAAGTGTAGTCGACAAAATTAACCAATAAACAAAGGCT